TTGGTGCGTTCACAGTCTATTCCCTTGTCTCCTACTGGCTGACGTGTCCTACCGTAGCTCTTGGTCTTGCCGGTTATGCCGTCACGCGCATCGTATAAAAACATACAATGATTTCAATAATCTCTCTGTCCCAGAAGTCTCTTGTACAGAACCCCCACGACAATACATAATGCACAATTTTTATTGCAACATATGTCCAATATGACGTCATCAGCTAAAGTTTGGTCTCGACCTCGCACTTTCATCAGCTTTGATCCTCGTCTTCTCTTCTCCAGTCCATATCTGATTCTCAGACGTTGGTGGTCAGACGTAACTATCAGATGTCTTTAGGAATGATCGTGAGCTACCTTCGCTTCCCTCAATTTGCTCAACATTCCTTGAGATCGCGGCACGAAACGACACCGAAAAGGTTTAGGATGGCTAACCCAAAATCAATCTGAACACCCAACCACACCAACGGACAAATAACTCACCTAACAGTCCCCGTCACATACTCAAGATCAGGCTTAATCTCCCTCCCTTCATCATCAAGTGGCGCGCATATATCGTACACGGATAATAACGTCGCAATCGTAATCCACAGCGTAGCCAACGCGAGATCGCGTCCAACGCACAGTCTACCAGAATGTTATAAGCTGGCATTGAACACCTTTTATTATGAAGGTACCTTCTGCCGAAACCGAAGATCACGTCCTCTGGATCTCGGATATCCGACCGAAGACTCAGTTCACCGACATCGTTCTCTTTCAAAAATCTCCACGGGTTGAATTCGTCCGGCTTAGGATATGTTGCCGAGTCATAGCATATACCCCTATAACTTGTTCAGCCAAATTGTTTAGCAATGGAGGGTTAGTTTACCATGCGTTGACTAGGAACATTGTGTCTTTTGCAAGAAAATATCCGTTGTATGTATCGTCTTCTATGGAGGTGTGGGGGATGCCTGCACATATAATATATCAGTGCCGCCACTACTTTCCAAGTAACATACCTAGCGGTGCGACAGGTTTCCATCTCGACCCAAATTCAACATTAAACCCAAAAAACGACTAAGAGTTCTCACCGAAGCGTTTCCTTGACTATAGCATCCAGAAAAGGAAGCCTATCCCGATCTTCAAACGTAGGTAATCTCTCCCCATGCAAGAGGTTGTCTAAATCTTTCTGTGCTCTCTTTTGAATTGCTGGATAAGTCATCATGGCAACTATGAAAGTGTCAATCGTGGAAACGGTCTACGGGGTCTGAATGATTGATGTTATAGCATGGGCGAGGTGAAGGACTTGCAGTATCGGCTCCGGCTAGAGAAAATTAGCAAAATCAATCAACAAGGTCGATACATACCTATATAAATCACACTAGTAGCTGCTGATATCTCTTTCTCATGCTCGATCGTTCCATCAGGCGCCGTATTCTCCTCAATAAGCCGGGACATAATGGAAGGCTTCGCCTCGCCTCTCAACTTCCCAATCACTCAGCACATATCCGATATAGAAAAAAGGGGTGACTTACGATTCTTTCTTTAGTCGCAGCATAAGGTTTCACACAAACATCATGTGCGCCTTTCCTCAGTGCTTCGATATTCTTGCCAAAGTCCTTGCCCCAGATTCGATATGGAAGTTTGCCGACTTTTCAAAGAGCTGATGAGTGGAAAGAAAGGGGGTTTGAAGGACGCACGTATCGGGAATATATCGATTGGATGGGCACCTGGTGTTCCGGTTTTCGTAGCGCCCAGCATCGCTTCTTTGGCATTATTGATCCAAACATCGTTGTCATCCGTAACTGAGGATACAACTTAGTCACTTTAACATAGATCCGGGTTCAGATCGGACCTTCATATCCATATGCTATAAGCATGACCGAAGCACCGACATACCTTGCCCACAATTCTGTAAACTGAATTCAACCAATGGAAGAAGCCAACACGCACATCCGATTTAGAGACTGAAACCTCTCTCCTTTATCCAGTAAATCATATGCCAAAGCCCGTGCATGGGTGGTAACGATATCATAATATTTCCTCGTAGCGGACGGATTAAAATATTGATGTAACATCCGTCTCTGAGTCAAGAAATATTCTCCATACGGCGCCGTGGAGACCAGAAAGTCCCATCCCCCGCTACATAAATCAAAAGACATTAACACATTAATAGAAGATAATGAGAGCTCACAATTTTTGAAGAAGAGGAAATGCGGGACGAGAAGAATATATTGCTCCTCGTTTATGTAATAGATCCATCGCAGCGTCGAAAGTATTCAAAATGACAATATTCTTGCCCAGTACTTTCAGGCCAGTCATTGAACCTAATTCCAGAACCTTCATGAGAACTTGTGTCAGTTTGATCAATCCTTATTAGAGACTGACCAAACTCTTCGGCCCACTCGGCGAACGTGATCCATTGATCACTTGGCGGCATTTGGAGAGCGTTACCCAGGTATGGAAGTCCTGTGGGTCCTTTGGGATATGGAAGATTCTGGGGGTTTGGCTTTCGCTGGCTCTTTGAAAGCCAGTGATACACCAGAGTTGCGAGGATCAATCCGACGAGCCAAGTCATAGAAACCGAATAGTCCTGAGTATTATAGATGAACTCTGCGCTGCTGAAGTTCATGATCCTGAAACTTTCTGGGGTAGCGTAGACAGAATACGCGATGTCGAAGTTTCAGGAAAACAGAGACGACTCAGGCAGGACGCAGCAGGAATTTATAACGATCAAGGGCGTATAGGGGCTCGCCCAGCAACACATTTGATACGCGAGCCTACATGTACGTGAAGGAGACTTTGTCAGCAAGGGACACTTTCTTTCAAGACCTGAGTCTAAGCTGAAAGCAGTCGTGAGAATTTGATCTCGGCGTTGCCGTCGGCGCCGAAGCTCGGAGTTCGGAAAGAAGCTTTGCCTTTTTCGGAGTTCGTGTTCCTTTATTAGGTAATTTTGATTTTCCTTGTGCAACTCTGGGGAATTTGAAGTCTAAGAGTGATGCTTGTCCTCCTGAGATATCTTGAACCTCGGATTGTCACAAAAAGCGCTAGATTGCGCCTTTTCCGCTTGTGGGTAAAGATGCGAGGAGAGTCGGAGTCTGAAAATACTTTTTTTCTCCGAAACCATCCGAGACGATCCGCCTTTGACGTCGGTTTTCTGTGTTCCAGAAGACGAATGCTGACTTTGCATTACAATAGAAGTCTGAAACATGTGGATATTCATTTCTTGATCTTCGTCACTTTCGATTACGGACAGGAGATCGGTACTGGGCTTCATCGAGTGCAAAGACTACTACAATCGGCGTGGAGCGTGGCTACCGCGTCCGACTCGCCCCACACTTGTCCCCAGATCGAACAAGGTTGCGGAACTCTGGTCTCAATAAGCTTCTCGGTCTGGCTTCGTGTTATTCCTATTTCCCGCCTTCTCCTGAAAAAAATTGCGCAATGTGAGACCTGCTGATGAACTTGTTATTCCTGATTCTGTACATCCGCGCCGGGTCAACGCTCATCAAGATATATTCCTCGGGCTGACTTGGCTGACTCTTGTGATCAAATTAACACCACCGCGCGATCGACAGCTTCCTTGATTCGCCGCTGGATGACATTAACCGATTCTTTGCGCGGAATGACATCATCCGATGCTTCGTCCGTCAGGAGGATTAATCTCTATCCTCTCTTGGAGCGGCTCGATCCATAAATGGCGAAAATCTCTTTGACAGTTTCCTATTCTGGAATCGCCCTCTCCAATTTCGTGACGGGACCCTGAGTGTTGGTGTCATCATTCACCTCATCCGTCTCCTAAACGAGACTCCGGAAAAGTGTTCACAGACAAACGCGTCATCTTCGTCACTCGGTGCTCTTGCGCAATCGCCGTCCGACGCGTATATAAACCAGCACGAACCGTCGTCTTTTTCCCCATCAAACGCAACCCACTTCATCACTCTCACAACCACTCTTATACTTTTAATCATGTCCAACCTCGGAAATGTCATCGGCGGATACAAAGCCACCTTGAACAGTACGTTGTCGCATCCCCTCGTCGTTCGCAGTCACTCATCGCGTCGTCTAGACCCCAACGTCTCTGAGCAGGCCAAGCAGAACGCTCAGCGCGCCATCGACGAGCTTCAGGACAGCTACGAGGCCGAGTCCGGTGCCAACGAGACCACCAAGAACACCGGCAATGTCATTGGCGGCCACAAGGTATGTCTCGTCGTCGTCGTCCCTTTTTCGCATCGCTCATCATCGTCCTAGGCCAACTTGAAGAACCCCAACACCTCTGAAGAGGCCAAGGAGCACTCTAAGGAAGTCCTCGAGGAGTTGGAGGCCGCCGATTAATGGAAAGATCAGCAGTAATAATCGTGTAAAATGTATTCTTATTCTGTGTAAACCTCCCCACCGCCCGCGAATAATGTTACCTCAATCCTCTCATTATCCCGTGACCCAAATCCTGGCGAAGATTTGAAAACTACGTTACTCCGCCCACGCTACGAAAGAATGATCGATGCCCTGGTAAACACGATCATACGCGATGTGATAGAGGAGTCTAGATCTGCTGCAAGACAAGCAAAAGCGAAATGCAGTTGAGAGGTGCGATTCGAACACGCTACTTGCGCACCCCGGAAAAGCTGTCGTGTAGCAGCCAATACATCGTCTACATTACAGCTGTTCTCAAACGTAAGAACAGCCGCTGCGTCGAGCGCTATAACATATCATTCTCGGAATCCCACTTATTGAATTTTTCAGGTGTCAAAGCCTCCATTCCGACCAGATGACCAGGATAAGGTCCTGGATAATGTTGGGCGAGAAGAACAAGTCTCGGGGTAAAGAGAAAGAGCACGCTGCACGCATCGCGGGGTTTCGAACCCAGCATCGACCGGTTGCTCACTTTGGCGCCGCGCGTCTTCAAAAAATCTGTTGTTACATGACAACGCGCGGGTACCGTCATCATTTTTGCCAACGGCTCCGAAAAAAATTAACCAACGCATACGCAGTATGCTAGAGCACTCTACAGATGGAATAAAAGCAAAAGAGTGGACATTGTGGGAATTGAACCCACGACTTCGTGCATTCAGATTACGTAAGCAACACGTGATCATGCGAAGCAAGCACTCTACCAACTGAGTTAAACGCCCTTGAAGGAATGAAGCAAAAGGACGAAATATGGACTACTGTGGGAATATTAGGAGACGCGTCAAACGCGACATTAGGCGGACTTTGAAAGCGTGTCACCGCGTCGTCTTGTTCACTCCTCCCACCCGCCTGCCCCCACTTCCACTGACTACGATCCCAACAATGGTACGTCCCTTTCACCTCCATACTGCACACTCTCATCCATCTTCTCGTAGTCATCCTCACCAACTCGACAACGCGGTACAAAAAGGGCCCGATCAGGCGCACCAGTGCAAAATTCGCAAAACGACGACCGACGCGAGTCTGAGGCCTCGTCGTTACCACCTTCATCCCCTCCACCTGCATTCTCTGATACGGATGGAGAGAATGATATATCTGATATGGATGGACCGAGAGTGGATGATGAAGAGGATGAAGAGGGCGAAGATCTATTCGGAGAAAATGTCTTGCAAGAGTACGTCTGCCTCTTCTTCACTTCATCATAGTGGTTCTCATCTCTTAAACAGAGATTACGCTCCGAATGATACGCTTGATCAGTACTCTCAGGCTGATATCGACGATGACAACGATGATATCGAGGAGCTCGATGCTGCAGGTCGTCGCGCCGTCGAAGCCAAACTAGCGCGTCGCGACAGAATGGAACGAACAGGAAAAGGCGGACGAGCATCTCGTCGAACGCTCATGCCCGATATCCTAGGCAGCGACGGTGCCGACTCAGACGCAGATCCCAGCATGGCTCCCATCGCCAAAATGACTCGACGAAGAAGACATCAATACGACGAACGTCCAGATGAAGATGAAGCTCCTGAAGACGCCGGAGAGATCCCTCTGGAGCAGCTTGGCGATATCAAAGCTAATTCGATCGCGGAGTGGATCGCTACGACGAGCGTCCGCAAGACAATCTCGAAGCATTTCCATTCATTCTTGCATACCTATACCGACGCGAAAGGCGATTCGATTTATGGCGGACGTATTATCCATCTCGGAGAAGTAAACGGAGAATCACTCGAAGTCTCCTACGCCCATCTCGCAGATGCTAAAGCCATCCTAGCCTACTTCCTCACAAACTGTCCCGAATCGATGCTCGCTATCTTCGACGAAGTAGCCTACGCCGCAGTCCTCGTCTTCTACCCCGCCTACGATAACATCCACAACGAAATCCACGTCCGTATCACTGATCTCCCCGCAGGAGAGACTCTCCGCGATCTCCGACGATCCAATCTGAACCATCTCGTCCGAGTTAGCGGCGTCGTTACTCGTCGCAGTGGTGTCTTTCCTCAGTTGAAATATGTTAAATTCGACTGCGGAAAGTGCGGGGCTGTCTTGGGTCCTTTCTTCCAGGATACGCATAAGGAGCTGAAAGTCAGTTTCTGCCCGAATTGCGAGAGTCGGGGGCCGTTTAAAGTGAACTCGGATCAAGTAGGTTTCCCGACCTTTCTTCCTTCATTCTTGGCTGATGATCCTGTGTAGACCGTTTACCGCAATTACCAGAAGATGACGCTGCAAGAGTCACCTGGATCGGTGCCAGCGGGTCGTCTTCCTCGTCATCGAGAAGTGATCTTATTATGGGATCTCATCGACTCTGCGAAGCCTGGAGAAGAAATTGTGAGTATGATCCGGAAGCCAATCGATCATTGATGAAGTGCGAATAGGATGTAACCGGAATCTATCGCAATAATTTCGACGCCTCGCTAAACGTCAAGAACGGCTTCCCAGTCTTTTCCACCATCATCGAAGCAAACCACATCAACAAGAAAGAAGATCTCTTCGCCGCCTTCCGTCTCACGGAAGACGACGAGAAGCAAATGCGAGCGCTAGCACGCGACGAACGTATCGCAAAGCGTATCATCAAATCCATCGCTCCGTCCATCTACGGTCACGAGAACATCAAAACAGCCATCGCACTCTCCCTCTTCGGCGGCGTATCGAAAGACATCAATCGCAAGCATCGTCTTCGCGGTGACATCAACATCCTCCTCCTCGGAGATCCCGGAACAGCCAAGTCCCAATTCCTCAAATACGTCGAAAAGACAGCCCATCGCGCCGTCTTCGCCACAGGTCAAGGAGCCTCAGCAGTCGGTCTCACAGCCAGCGTCCGGAAAGACCCAGTCACTCGCGAATGGACATTAGAAGGAGGCGCACTCGTCTTGGCTGATAAAGGCCATTGTCTCATCGACGAATTCGATAAGATGAATGATACGGATCGGACGAGTATTCATGAGGCTATGGAGCAGCAGAGTATTTCGATATCGAAGGCTGGTATCGTGACGAGTTTGCAGGCTAGATGTGGGATTATCGCTGCGGCCAATCCTATTAGGGGGAGATACAATCCTACAATTCCTTTCCAGCAGAATGTCGAGCTGACGGAGCCGATCTTGTCTCGGTATGTCTGACCCTTGGAGTAATGGTTCGATAACTGATTGTTCTGGGAAGGTTTGATGTCCTGTGTGTTGTGAAAGACACGGTTGACCCTGTCGCGGACGAGCTTCTTGCCAGATTCGTTGTCGGCAGTCATCTTCGTAGTCATCCTGGATTCCAGAAGGACACCGAAGAGATGGAGATCGCTGATTCACTCGATGAAGATGTCAGTGCCTCTCACGCCGTTCTTATCCTATTTACTCACCTCTGTACAGATCATCCCTCAAGATATACTGAAGAAATACATCATGTACGCTCGCGACAAGATAAAGCCCAAGCTTCATGATCTGGATCAAGAAAAGCTTTCCAAGCTCTTCGCTGATCTACGAAGAGAATCTAAGGCCACTGGATCCTTCCCAATCACCGTTCGTCATTTAGAGAGCATGATCCGAATGGCAGAAGCGAGCGCGAAGATGCATTTACGTGAATACGTGCGCGCGGACGACGTGAATCTTGCAATCAAGGTTGCTATTGGCAGTTTCGTCAGCGCGCAGAAGACATCGATCAAGAAATCACTTGAGAGAGTCAGTCATTCCATCCCTCGTATTATCTGAGTTCGTGACGAGTACTGATTGCCGTATTGCAGAGCTTCCGTAAATATCTATCGCAAGCCAGAGATCATGAAGAACTACTGGCGTTCCTCCTCGGACAGCTGGTCAAGGATAAAGTCAGGATGTATCAAGCCCAGCGCTACGAACAGCCTGAGCGCGTCTCTGTCAAAGTTTCCGAACTGGATGAGCGGGTAAGATTCTTCTTCTGGAGCCCATCTTCAAGTATTGACATGAGATTCTCAGGCTAAGGAACATGATATATATGACACGGCTCCGTTCCTCAAATCGAAGCTGTTTGCTACAAACGGCTACAAATTGTACGAGGATGTAATCGAGAAGACGTTCCGGGTTACGAATGGGACTGATCAAACGCTTTGAACCCTTGCTATTGCTTGTTTAGATCTGAATTGGTCGCTTTGTGTACAGTATTATATACCTAACCGACATCTTGTACGATATCTTTGCTTGTTGTAATAGTAGTAGCACAGTACCTCCCAAATCGAGCTGAATTGACTAATCAATAGGAAGGGTAATAGGGGGACAGGTCGTGCGAGGTCGTGCGGGGTTCGTGGTTCGCGGCCGCGGGTTCCGCAGAAGGCACGATCAACGCATATTCAGAGTTCCCCGTATTGTTCATCCAGACCTGAGTACAGAAACCATGGGCCGTGATAAGATAAACGATTAGGTCATTGATCTCAAACCCTCGCAAATCGGCATTCCAGCCTGAAGTTGTGCTTCTCTCGCATGCAATTGGTGCTTCCCAGGGGCGGCCCGCCTCGTGTGCTTGTCGACGTCGCTGTGAACCACTTGTGAGTAGATGCTATCTAATGAGCTGGGCACAGTGGCCATGGAAATGACATCGCATCGAAGATCTTGATCTGCTTCCACGACGGCGCTTACAACTGTAAATCAGTTCCTTCCAAATTCAGGAAGCGAAAACCCTAAGAAGGAAATAAAATCATCCGAACTCCGCCATCTTCGGCTCCGAAAATTGAACTTAAGTCCTCCCCAACTCCCTGTACACGTATTACCGGATCAGCGTGATATAGGATGGTCCCTTCTATTGCATGCGGAACGGGCTGACCCCCTGTCCTGTTTTCCCATCTACTACCTCTTGTCTGAATTTGACTGAATGGCAAACAATATCTTATTACTACGAGGCTCCCACACCATGCTCGCCTTCACCGCTGTTCATCCTTGTCGAAGCAGCTCCTATTTTGACGAATCCAGTGTACTATGGCTGTCACAGAAATACTGGCACATCTCACTCAAACTAATGTCTCATGGATCGTTGGGCTCATTATAGCAAGCCTCATCTACGTATATCGAACATCTAGAAAACTGAAGACAAATCCCGAAGACCTACCCTATCCCAAAGGGCCGAAAGGTGTTCCATTATTGGGAAATGCTCTCCAGTTGCCAGCGGCAAATCAATGGCACCAATTTTCGGAGTGGGCCAAAGAGTTCGGTTCGTCTGTTCTCTGTTTCGTGCAGGAGCGAGATGATGACCATTCGCTTCATGGCAGGTCCGATCACTGGGCTCCGTGTTCTGGGCAAGAACATTGTCATCATCAACTCGTTTGACGCCGCGGCAGAGCTCTTGAATAAACGAGGGGCTATATATTCGTCCCGCCCCGACCTGCCTCTTATCCGTGATTAGTGAGGCGCAGGCGTAGTTCTTGAGCGGATTCAGAGACTGAACTTGTCGCAGCGGTGGTTGGGACTTTATGCTTCCAATCGTCCCCTATGGAGATGCATTCCTCACCCAACGCAGAATGCTACACCAATTCTTCAATCCATCTGCAACAAGAAATTACCATGGCATTCTCACAAAACACGCTCGATCTTTGGCTCATGATCTCCTGACCCAAACTCAGAAGTTCCAGTCCTTGAATCGGATGTCAGTGTACCTTCGTGTTTCGAAATCATCACACTGAATAGATTTAAACTGATCTTAGGTATGTTGGCGCTACGGTGATGCTGTTGGCATATGGATACGAAGGTTTTGTCTCCCCGTGCTTATATGCTCTCTA